TATCCGCTTCCTCCCCTCCAAAAAAAGGGTGTTTTCAATCCCCATAATGTACTCATACATGACGTACTGTATTTGACGATATATATGAATCGAAGTTGATCAATGAAAGTTTAGGGTTTTTTGAATATAGTATGAGGTTGTCGTATTGAATAATTCGTACCAGATATTAGTTTACTCGTGTTCTATTAGTTTTTATTTTTAGGTTGACTAGGAGGTAAAGTATTCAATTCCGTAGTAATTATAGTGCGATATAATACCATAGTTGGAAATTTTGAGTGACACACGTTACCCTTTCAATCACAATATGATATAATGAACATCAACACCACATTGTCCATATTATTATCTTGTAAACTCGGATTTCATTACAAATATTATATTATGTTGGGTAGATAAATTAATTTATATTTTCGTGTAATTTAAAAACTCAAACAATTATTTAAAACTATCACAGGAAATCGCATAATATAAAAAAACGATTCTAAACATAAATTGAAAATATTATAATAGTAAGTTTTCGTATTTTATTATCTTCGCTTTAAAGTTTGATATACATAATACACAACCTACAGCTGTACAACGTGTGCTATAAGCGTAACAAGAAGAGTGACCCCAACGACCTGCCTTCTGCCTTCAATTCTGTCCTGAGTTCCTGTCCGGTGTTTCGTTTATATTTGTTTCCATAAGGATTTGAACTTGTGCAATAACAAAACTTCTACCTATATAAAATCGTACAGAGGTGAAGTATTCAATTCCTTAGTAATTATAGTGGGTTATATAATACCATAGTTGGAATTTTTGAGGGACATACCTTACCCTTTCAATCACAATATGATATAATAAACATCAACAACATATTATAATTATGCAAACTTGGATTCCCTTAAGAATATTATATGTTGGGTGGATTAATTTATTTCCATTTTCGTGTTATATAAAAATTCAAACGATTTATAACTATATCGAGAAATTGCATACAAAAAAACAATTCCGAACATAAATTTTAAATGTAATATTAAGTTCTCGCTCTAAAGTTTGATAAAAAAAATTATACATCACCGATCTAATCATTTTTAACCAACTGGACTCGTAAGTCCCGTACTATTTAAAAGGAAAATATAACCCTGGCAATGGCAGCGATTCACGTTTTATGTCATAAATTGTACGAATAGATTATGATTATAATTTATAATATTATTATTGAGCATTCTTACCTATAGTGAAGTGGTCAATATTGTCTCTAAAATAATTTATTCTGAGACGTCTGATTCTAGGTAATTATTTATATTTTTGCTCAGTAAATATTTTAACGCTTATCGTAGAATGTAGAGGTAGCCGTAGGGTATAATATAGAAAGTAATAGGTTTTATGTATAGTTTATAGTTGTCTGATATTATATAAATAATTTTTGATCTTAACAAAACATATGTAAGTACTAGATTTTGGTCTAACGAGGTAGTTTTGATGTTGGTTGAATATTAAAATTTTAATATAAAAATGTACGAGAATATCATTTTACATATTATTCTTCTATAACTATTACAATACCTTATAAAAGTGTATTCTGATAAGTTAATTTAAACAATTATTTAATTTTAGGTTCATTTATGATTACGTTGCATTGGGATGGGTATTCGAGGTTTCGTGTGGTTAGTTTTTCTGGAGTCTCGTATTTGTCTAAATTTTGATATCAAAATGATTTTTTTCATAACAAATTAGGAAAATTCGGTACGCTCTGGCCATATTATCGTATTTTTTCGGTATCTCAAAATATTTGGAATAATAGTAAAAGCACTTCACCCTGGTGGAATGGAATCAGCTGTTTTGCTATCAAAACACAAAAGAAAAGTTAAAGTTTTAACGTTAGTATTACAGTTTCATGTCCTCAAACAGATCAGATTACAATATAATAGACTTTCAAACAAGAATAAGACATAATGTTGAGAAAATCTTGTGCGCTGTATCATACATTACTGGAAAAAAAAAATCCTGATTACAAGATAAAAGTATAAAAGAGGTCATAGATATTCCAGGGAAATAATATTTTTATATTACATCTGAATAAATATTTCATTATTGCTCAAAAATCAATACATTTAAGATAAAATATCAGAATGTCCAATAAAATAAGAACAAATCAAATTGTGTTTTGGGATATCACAATATCTCTTTTCTTATGAGGAAACGTATAGTTTGTTTTTAAGGTATACAATTTACAAAGATTTAATACAAATAAAGTTACTATATTTATTCGTACTTTTGTACAATATAAGAGTATATGTATTATATGGACAGTAACAATGTAATAAATAACCATTGGGCAGGATGAATATATTATTGTAGTCAGTTGTTTTCGTTATACAAAGTATGGCTTAAAAATAAACACTAAAAAATTATTAAATAAAATGTTCATTGGATTTTAATTTCAAGAACGATAATAATAGTTTATTAGTATGATTAAAATATAATTTTGTATGGAGAAGGGCAAGAAAATAATAAATAAATTTATAATAAAAATTCTATTTTTCGGGAAATGGAGAAAATAATATATTATTAAAACTTATATAGGTATCAACGTTTTCATTTAAATAATTAATGTAATAATGTAAATATTTATATTTACCAACATATGTTCCATCTATGTTATAGGAAGTAAAGACTTTCAAATTTATGATCGAAAACACAATTCCGATACTGAAACAAATAAATAATATTATTATATCGGTTATCTAATATTACCTCTAATTGTGCTCAATAAGAAAGAAAAACAACAACTCATTACATTTGAGCCGTTAAATTGTTTCGGTTTTTTCGGTTATAACGAAAGACAGCCAGTCAGAGACAGCTACTTATGAACGTAGTGATTCATCGATCACTAATTCTAGTCACAGCGATGATTATAATAATATGGTTTTTGTATAGTGACAGTTATGATCGGACTTCGCAGTCCACTAATCCATCCTATCGACCGATTGTATTGTGGTTGAACAGGTTAATGACTTGAGGTTTTATACTCTTTACAGCTCATTAAATTTGAGCCGTTGCATTGTTTCGGGTTCTATGGTTATTATAACGAAAAAGAGCCAATCAGAGACCTACTTATAGACGTGATGCTGTAGTGACTACATATCTACCACTAATTCAAGTCACAACGACGATAATATTATTATGGTTTACCTATGTATAGTGGCAGTTACATCAGACTCCGTAGTCCATCCTATGCGCATCGATCGTATTGTGGATGAACACGTTAATGACTTGAGTTTTTTATGCTTTTTACTGTGGGGTTTTTTTTTATTAGGGTTGTGGGTGGGCCTATTTGCCAAGTTTTTTTCGGTAAAGCCCAGTTTGTAAACATCTCAAGTTACATTTGTGCCGTCATAACGTTTACGTCATAGTGGGACCACTTAATATTCAATTGTTGTCGATAATGGTTTGGCTACGCGTTTTTTTATCAAAATAAAAAATTGTCAAGTTCAAAACAAAAACTGACGAATGTCAGTAGCTTTAATTTCAATAATTATAAGAGAGTGGGGGGGGGGGGTGGGGGTTAGTATGGAATAAATTTCATTATTTTTCCGATAGTATGGCTGATTTGTATGTTAAAAATTGATGTTATTATTTTCCACTAAAATTGGTACGAGCATTCCACATAGTATTTCAGGGAATCGTAATATTGCAATACATAATATTATACAGTTAGGGACTTAGGGTTCACATAAAGTATTTGAAAGGTTTTAATACACGGTATACAGAAGCAGATTTTCATTTTTTATTGAAAACTAAATATATTATACACTTTGTACATTATTATGAACCTATTCTAAGACGCACGAGATGAAATAAAAATAAATATAAAGAAATTGTACTCAGAAAAATAAGAATTTAAGACGGCCGTTTCTAGTATCTCCCGTCAGAAAATAATACGCATTTAAATATTATATATATATTAATAACCAATTTTATAGTATCAATCGGTATATACTTACGTAATATAATAACGTACTTATTACCTGTATGATAATATATACCGTGGACAGCATAGTATCAACGTATACTTACTAAAGCCATGAAGGACATCATATTCAAACGCACCATACCACGGTTCCGGGTTAGGTTAATACCATATTATACATTATAAATACTCCTATAAATATGATATTGATTTCTGCATAAAATATTCGTATACTTACAAGCAAGTACCTACGTCATGATTCCAATAAAATGAATTATTGAAAAAAAAAATAGTAATAACAATAGTATCGAATTACCAATAAGTAACAACATATTTACCAGTTTGTTTAATAATAATCAACTTTAATAGGTATTATAACTTATAACTTATAAGTATCGAAAATTACATTCTAACAATAAAATATAATATATTTTTTATTCGTAATAGATTTACAGGTGTGTATAATAAATGCATAATTTTACATCATAGTTAATTGTATTGTAATACGGTGTGGTTGGTGTTAGGGACCAGAGAGATGTCTTTAGTGTAGTTGTCATGCACTCAAATTGTACGACGTATTCGGACCCGGCAGTTCACTTAATAACGCATTTTCCGGTAATGAATTATACACTGAATTACGGAAATATTGTAATACTAATCATAATAACAATAATAATATTATGTACAAGGGAAAACTTTAGACTAGACCGCGGGAACACGGACAAAATGAAAATCGTACCGTTTTACCGTGGAGGAGGAGTGTGTACGAGATTACCTGTCCTATGACGGTAAGATAAATGTGTTTCTGTTTCAGAGCACGCTGGTCAGACTGTTAATTTCTCGCTGTAAGCTAAAACCCAATTCATAAAGTAAAACATAACGACTTTTATTTACACGAACGGGGTAAGTGGAACAAAACAAAACGGGTGGAAAAAAATACGATAAAATTCATTACAAAAATCTAAAAATAGTACAATAAAAAATGCGTTAAACCTAATCGTAGTCCGTTCCGGTTTCCGTCGGCGTTTGTGGGTATGGCGGGAAAATGACTTGTGGTATATACCACGCCGGTCGAATCCCGGGCGCTAACGGCCGAGTGCAGCTGAATACGACTAGCGATGATGATGGTTCGACCACGACGCACCTACGCCATTACAGTTGTGTCCTCCTCGACTTTGGGTATTCGCACGTGCTTAAAACGTTGCGCATCGGTCGTGGGGTACGGGGTCGTCGATCAGTTCTTACACCTGCCGATCCTCCGAACGATGTCTGTGCACGTCCGGATTTTCATCACGACGTCCTGTTGCATCAGGTTGAAACACATGGCGATCAGGGCCATGCCCAGCATCAGGTACATGGAACACAGTATGAAGCTCAGCTCGATAACGGTACCGGCGCTGCTGCGGTTACCGGGACCCGTACCGGTACCGGTGCTGGTGCTCGTACCGATGCTGGTGCCGGAGCCGGTGATGCTGTTGCCCGGCACGAAGTCGCCGAACCCGATGGTGCTCAGCGATATGAAGCAGAAGTACGACCCGTCGAAGAACTCCCAGGACTCCCATTTGGAGAACAGTATGGCGCCTCCGGAAATGTACCTTTGAGGGGGAAAAAAAACGAAATAAATTAACAATACAGTATTAAAAGAAAAAATCAATCGGTCGGCCGATAAAAAAATCAAACGGCCTCGGCGCCGATCGCCGACCATCGAGTGTTGTTTGCGTATTCGACGGGACAACGACGGCCGACGACGTCCATGAACCCTTAAGAGGACGCCATATCCGCAAGTGAGTTGTCTCCGTCTTACAAACACGTATCATACCAAATTTAAGCTCAGAAATTCACGTCTCATGCCGTTAGCTTAAAAAGAGTGAATCGACGATGATTAATTGTTGGAAGTTTTGTACGATAATTCAGTTTTTAAGTGAGTTATGTGTGTATAATAAATGTAAATTGAAAATGATCATAACTCAATAAAAAACTGAATTAAAGTAAAAAAACTTCCAAAAAAACACAGATAATGTTCTTACCATCGAGTTTCATAGTAGATCGATTCACTCTAATTTTTAAGCTAACGACATATAACATGAATTTCTGAGCATAAATTTGGAACGTTACGCGTTTGTAAAACGGAGACAATGCATGCGGGTGTGGCGTCCTCTTGAGTACGTATGACATGTACAATATTATCGATATCGTGGCGAAAATTGCATGCTCATCGTCGTGTGAACTATCCGATCCTATCGAAGGATGATGCGATTGCCCCTATATTGGTTAATCAAAATTAATTTTTTCCGACTAGTGTCCTAAGCGAATCGGGCAAGTGTGGCGAAAAACAACATTTCGTCGCATCGAACTCACCACACTGTGGCTGAACAGAGCATATTCAAAATTTAATTCCTCACGCACCCACCGAATTCACGTGGGACACACAGGCTTTTATTAGCATAGGTACGAGTAGAATTTGAAGTTTGAACTCCTCGTCCTTAAAAATGAATCTTGAACGTTCTGCGAATATCGAAAATGTCAATTTTGACAAAGGTAAAGTCGTAATATACGTCTATAATAAAATCGAAAACACATTCGGTTTTCGTTAAGTATGAGAAATTTCGTATCTTGGATATTTGTTTTATGTTTTGTATAAAATTGTATTAAAACGATGATATCCGCATAATATATTTTCACGATATCGTTATTTGAAATAAATATATATATATAATTTAAATAAGTCATCGGCCATCAAAATAAGTACTATAGTATGTTAATCATCATTGTTTTTTTCAATTATTTTAAGGGTACAGCAATATAATAATATACTATAATATAATATTTATAATATTAGGTACATATTATATAAATTAATGAGCTTAACAAGTTTGGTCACGTCCATAAATTACACAAAAAAAATCGACGAAATATTGTTTTATTTGATCCAGATATATCAAAAATCAAATTTTTCAAGATGAAAATAATATGTAGGAATAAGTGTATATGGTTTTGTACAAGATTAATAGTCAACATGCAAGACGCTTTTAGGTGATAAAAAAAAACAGCCAAAGTTCAAACGATAAACACTCACGCATGTTTGGAACACACTCGGACGCTTTTATCGATCTAATCGTTACCCACAAATGATTTATTATTTATTTATTTATAATACTGCTTTATGGGAAATAATTTATGACTCGAAAGTCGCTATATTGTAATCTACCACGTAAATAAACTTAATTCAACGGTTGAAATTGCTGCATAAGAATGAAAATCTATACAACGCGTGGCAATCGATTTAAGACAGACCGTGTCGAGCGAATTTATTATAATATTATATTAGAAGACAAACGAATGTTTAAATTTTATATCGACTGCACCACTAATGTATTACCTATTGTTTTTGTAGGAATTGCTTATAATTAACATGTTATTTATTAGCCCGTTAATAATTGTTATAGGCTTTCGAATGTATAATTTAAATTTGTAATTCTATAATATTATAATTTATATATTTAGCATGGCGTAAATAATCTGTATTGGTTTTTTTTATTTCTTCGATTGATAATTAAATGTTATACTACTCCTTGCAGTAATTTTATTGTACACATTATTTGTTACACGTCATACAAATATCTTAAACAAATTTTAATTTAAGCTAACATATTAATTTTAAGTCCTCTAGAATCCGGTATTACTGTAGATTATAATATTAAAAATAAGTGTTTAGTTATGATAACAAATTTACTATGTTTTTAGACTGTTTTGAACTAATATAATATAATATAATATCACTGCCTATAAGTGATTAAAATACAGTTTTATAAGACTGAACATATTTCATTTTATATTTTTATTTTAAAGACTGATTACACAAAAACAAAAATAAATTAAATTTTTTAAAATAAAAATATTGATAAAAATTAAAAACAATTAAAAATCAAATCTAATACGTTTTAAAAATTATCAGTTAAATAATCGGTTTTGACAGAATAATATAATATTATGCAAAATACCAACTAGGTATAAGTACTACCTTTTTTAAGGTTCATAATTATTGTAAACATTAACTATTGTATTAAAATATCTACGGATCGGCTGAATCAATAGGCAGCATTAATATTCATAGTATACCGTTTGTAGCTGGCCGAGTCGATACGGAATCTATGGATTAAACCGATACCCGTATCCCACTCCCCCCCCACTATCATAGATTTGAATAAATCTGGTCACACCGAAGGTGGCATGCCTTTTCGAAGAGATAACAGTATGGTATTTTTTATGGACCGATGAAATCGTGGTGGATCGGTCATAAAGCGGATGACGACGTACCTATCAGTCGAAAACGGTTCGCCGCCCGCCTTCGGAACGATAAAAACTGCCGACAAAAATGACGTTGACGACGAGAAAATAATAACGCGAGGCTGCAGTACCGATTCGACGTTTTTGTTAGCGAAATATTCCACGTGAATACGGTGATTTGTTTCGTTCGGTATAATAATATTGTGTGTAGGTATATAATATGGTATGTGGTATACGGTTATGGGCGGTGGCTTGAGCTAATATCGCGCTAACGTTGGGGGGGTTGGGGGACGGGGAACTCGAAAAACGCTCGTTTGAGAAAACTCGCCGTCTTACAGGGCGTAGGTAGGTAGGTAGGTATAGTATGCAATATCGGATGGTTATGATATATCGTTTGTCGAAATCCCATTTCGATTACACGAAGGCTGGGGGGGGGGGGGCGTAGTGCAATATTATTACGAACTCGCGAGCCAAATACAGTACCTATATATATTATATTATACATTATTATTATTATTATGTTATTATAAACGTGCATTGAAAAAGAAGGCAATTCTAATAAAAAAAAAAAAATAATAATAAAAAAATCGATTCATTGCGGCCGAACGTGCCCGTTTACCGGCACGGGGGCTTTTATCAACTCGCCGCCGACATGACCACTTACCTAGTTACACGCGATAATATTATTATTGTATTTACATAGTCGGCATAAATTATTATTACGATTGTTGATAGTATTTATTATATTATTTCCACTGCTGCGTGCAAATGCGCAATCGATAGGTGTATGCGTTTGATACCCATGCCTATAATAAACTACAATATAATACTATGTTCAAGACGGGAAAAAAAAATGGTGTCGTAACCTGACCCTATATCCACAACCTACGAATGTCGTCTGCAGTGGTCTCTACTCAAGATTTCAAGTAACACTTAATTCTGACATCACTTAGCTTATTAAACATAAATTGTATATTAGATTAGTCAATTCAAATAATAAAATAATTAATGTTTGCGTGTAGCTATATTGCATAACCAGGGCGCCGTTTTGCCGGCCCTTTTTGTGCTCGTAGCAATAGGACCTCCACAGTATTATTTATAGATCCATGATGATATTACATAATATTGTTGTTATTATTATAATATAGTTTCAAGGCAATAGGGATCGAAGTAAAAACTTGACCAAGGACAAATTATTTTCCTGATAACACACACACACACACACACACACAATTCGGGTGGATAATTGTGGGGTGTAGTCTCTGGGAGGATAATTAAAAGTTTTGGACCCTCTCGCTGGGAACCTCGGTGACCTCGCTTGCCACAAAACCATATTTTCGGTGAAGGTATATTTACTATTTTTATTATTATTATTGTTATTATTACTATTATTATTATTATTATAGTATGACATGTAGTACGTGACCGTCATCATTGAAGAGTTGAGACGACTTACACAAAAAATCATCTACGAAGACTAAATACGAGGCTGACGAATTGATGCAGGTCGGATGTAAGAAAATCATATTTAATTAAATTATTAATTTTGTATTATAAAGTCGAACTCGTCTTCAACTCTGCGTGATGGCGACGGCGGCGTCAGTCGGGGATGTAGCGTACAAATCGAATTATAATAAACAATAATGAATAGCGAACGAAATCCTGATGTCGTCATCGCCGCTGGACGGTTGTACAGTCATTGTACATTGTAAGTTCGTAACTCTAATGATTTTTAAATCAAAAATTCAATTTTTTATATAGATATATAAAAATATATTATTATACACTTAGATATACTAAAACTATATTTTTGGAGTGGCTGCGTCATTCAAATAATTACGCGGAGAGCCAAGAGGGTCAATCCATATCGAATGACGGCTGAAAAATAGTAAACCAAATTAACAACGATTTAATATATTTTGCAGGAATCAGTAGTTGTGTGTTAGATGTCTATTTTTAGTTTCTTACGATCGCGTGCAAACAATTCACCATAATTCCACCACACGAGGACACACATCGTCACGATCGTGATGTATTAATGCGCACACGTAATTTGTATAATATATTAATATATAATTATTATACCGTGGTTATAACACACGAGGATGTAGGTGGCACGTTCTGGGCTTAATACAGTTTAATTTGTCGCCCACGTGTAACGTTTATTACCGTATTAATCTAACGAAAGAACGTTGACGAATCGCAATCGAAAACTCCAAGCACGCTGACTCGAAGGGGTTTCGTATAATATTATATAAACACACATAATGTCGTTTATTGTTTTCTTCGATCGTAGCAGTATTATTATAAAATATTTCGTACAGGTAAAGTTATTTTTAT